GCTTTTTTTTAATATTGTTCCTCTTTTATTTACTTGTATATTATTGTAAAGCGTCTTTCTTCACTGGGAAAAGCGCTATATAAATATCATGTATGTATTATATTTTGTACGTAGAATAATAAAGTACATGTTAATTATTGGAGTCAGTATTTCATTGTACATTTGAAAAGCCTTCAGCTGCCTTACAACACATCAGTTAAACACGGAACGTGCTACAATCCGTGTAAGCGTGTATGCACATTTTGGGGTAATGGCTACTGAAGTGGATACACAGAAGCACTTAAGAATGCTTCGCTCATATCTCGGGGCGCAATGGCTGTTCAAAGCTAGGCCAAGCTTTCAATACACACGGCAACCCAAATATTTTTTGAGACCAATAGATTTGTTTCGCTGAGCTGCATTAAAAAGGGGGCCACACATCCAGGGCAAAGAGCATTACTTCCATGTGACAGCATGTTTACTCCAGTGCCTCGTATCCCCTTGGCCTCACAACTGGACTGAGTGTCCGCTTGTATTGATCGAAAGTGAACTAAGTGGTCTAATTCCTTGCATGCTACCACTGAAGAGATGGGACAAAACTGTCTGCTGTACTTCCTGCCTGCCTTTATGTGTGTGCTTATCTGCCTGGTAAACCTGGAAGACCGTCACCACTGTACTGAAACACAAGTGACCTATTTTATATGACAAGAAAATTCGATGAACATGCCTGAAGATTTACAAATGGCTAAACTGGGTTAACATTGCCTGTGTAAATTGTAGATGATATTCTGCAATAATTTGGAAATAAATAATGTTGACATTGCAGAAACCTAGTATTATCGGTTGCGAGGCATACAATAATTATCGGTCAAATCCACCACTTCACTCCAATCCATAACTTTCTAAGATCACTAAGATTCTGAGTTTCTAGTCTTTTTAAAGTATTTCTTTGAAATCTATCTTTTGTGGACTGATGCAACAAACGAGTCTGTGTGTGTGAGCTTCTCTTTGTTAGTGTAGCCGTCTTTAGAGTGGATGAAGAGGGACAACATGAGGGACAACATGACAGAAATAGGGTCCAAACTGTTGTCTGTATGTGCTTAAGAAAAATCAGACCCATGTCTAATGCAGATCACATAGCCTTAGGCTCAGACCGACTATTCTCAGGGTACAGGGACACAAGAATGAGCATTGCCTCAGACACATTAGAAATAAAGTGAGAGGGGCTGCTCTTTGCCCCTCGGGCAGAGACAATGGAGACAAGACCCACAAAACCCCCTTTGTTGATACAACATTGACATGGCACTAATAGCTCTGGCTATAAAATTGAGCGGAGGAGAAATCAGGCGAGACGAAAATCGCATGAAGGCCAGGCCGACCCCTTCCTGGAGCCTCTCCACGACCCACTTTGGCTCAACAGCAAACACCATTCTCTTTGTCTCTGTACATTACACTCAGATGCTTGACCACTGCAGGCTAACTCCCTCAGGTGGTCTAGACTTGAGTTTTTGTCCCACAAACACGCACACACGCCAAGCCAGATTCGGACTGAAAACTAGAAAACACTTTTTCAAAGCCCAGTGGACTTTCAGAGACGAGAAAATCCAATATGGCAATATCAGGTCATCTCTAAGCTGAGAAGAAGACTGGTAGTGTCCTGTCTTTGGAAGAATCCAGGCATGGGCATGCGCTTGCACCGTACTACTGATGACCTGATCACACACAGAAACATGCCGCCTCTGTCTCCTTTCTGATCCCCTAACCCACATGCCATTTGGTTCCAACTGGCATCAAAACCAGCTTGTAGTGATGAGACCAAATGCATGCGTTACACCATCATAGTTCCTCTCGCATGTATGTTCTGAGAGAGATTGGCTGGCTTGGCTTCTATTTCTATTCCTACTCTAGTTTCATAGACTGTAGGGAATAATTGGTTCTAAAAATATAACTAAGACAAAGTGTCATTCAAACATCATCACAGTTAATTCAAAAAAAGTATTGGCACATCACTTGGATTAAGTGTTTTGGAGATGATGAAAAGACATTTTGAAGATTGTTTTTATATCTATTTCATCATACCGCCAATCATTCTGAACTGAAAGGTGCAGCGCTGTTCTGAAAAGATGAATATTTGTTATAATAACACATTCAAAGCACAGCCAGGGAAGGCTACATTACTAAAAAAGAAAAGAAAACCATTGCAGAGTGTGTGCTGCAAAAAACAGGGGAGATGTAAAGACACTTATATAGGGTAAGCTTATAGGCAACTAACGAGATGACATCATTCTTAAATTTGACTAAAGATACTCTTCCAATACGGGTACTTAAGATGTGTTGATTGGAAGAAAAAGAGGTGTCACTTCATGTTCTCACTGATGTCTTCTTCACTTGCGTACGCTTGTCGGTATCCCCCATAGGACAAAACAGTCAGAAAGCCCTGTGTGTGTTTGGCCATAACTTATAGAGAAGTGATTTGAAGGACTGGCAATTTTCCCAAACACTTTTCTTTACTTCACTGGTTTTACAAATGCTTCCAAGTCAATGATACCCCAGCCCTCTCTGTACAGCTAAACATTATACGGTACAAATTGTATTATCACAACTTCATAGCAGCTAGGAATCATTGACAAAAGGCTGTAGAGTTGCTACTGTATGCATCTTTGATTTCATTCTTAAAACAGATAAGTCGATCAACATAATAATAAAAACTGTAGCAACAAATTAAAACAATGTTGTGAATCTTTTGAATTGCAGGTCACAGTCACATAGTGGCTCTTTTTTTTTTTTTTTTTAATTGAGTGAGCTACAATGGATTATAAAGTGATTATAACTAGTAAAGAAAAGGGGAATGTTCCAGTACAACTGCACACGCGTATCAATACACAGTATTTTGCTGAAAAATATTTACTTTTTGAATGAGCTTAACGATAAAATGGTACTGTAGATTCAGACATAATATTAGTTCCCTTATGATTTGTAACTGACAGCTGCACAATGCATCCCGGCTGTGAATGTTATAGGGCCAGGGGGCTAAGAAATTGAGATTTTCTCCTGGTGAGACTACCCACTAGAGAAATATGTGGAAATGCAGCGAGCTCCCCATGTAGGCTGCTTTCTCAGAGACCCATTGCTCTGTCATAAATTGCCTGCATTTCAGCTTATGCAAATATATCTGTTAAAGAGTGATATTTTCCTCAGAGACGCTTCTCTCGTTCCTTTTGACGCATCCCCTTTTCCTCTATCCCCATGACAATCCGTCAACGCAGATAAAACCCAACCATCTCCAGCTTCGTTTTTCCTACTCATAGAGCTTCCTTGGCAGAGGGAGGCTTGCATTATTATTGTGAGGACTAGTTCCGTTTTTTCTGTTGGGAAAGAGAATTCCTGGAAAGTGATGTGGTTACATATATTCTATTCTCAGGGCCTGCACATTGATCGGTCCCATTGTTTTGTCAGGTCAGTGGGAATAACGAGCTACTACAACTAGACGCAGCAGGTAGAGCTCTTTTCATATTCTATAATATGTGCGTACATGTCCTGTGAGCCAGCTCCCAGTGCTGTAAATGAGATGTACTGTATAGGCCTGCTCAGGATGAATATGTATGACAGGAAGAAAGGAGAAAAAAAGCTGCATGTCTTCTCCCTTTTAGCGCACAAGGAAGGTTCACGAGGAGTTCGACATTTAAATATCCCTTAACACCTTCTGCACATCTCTACTGCTGTTCTTCTAAACATGGTCTGAGGAATGAAAGGCAGAGTAAAACGAGCAGAGCAGGGCTAGGATCAGGACAAGCTACACCCGCACTCACATATCATGGACACAAGAAGCCTTTTAGTGTTATCATAGGCAGCAGATACGTTCAGTGTGTGAAGCTGCACGGGAATCCGTTAACTCTTTCTGTTGATAACAAAGGAGTCTTATCAAGCTGGTCGAAGAGACATAGAATGCATTAACATTTATGGTGCTCTCTCCTCTGCTTTTTTGTGTCATCTCCAGAGTGCCCACTTTGTTCTTTTCTCCTTAATGCAGTTCAGCACTTTGCCCATTCACCCCTACTGTGTGAACCGCTGCAGAAAAAAAATAATGACGAAACAAAATCCCCTGTGCATGTTTTGCATAAGGAAGTAGCCCATTTTCGGGAGGAGGGGCAGACATTATCCTAGTTTCCTCCAAAGCTCAACATTAATGAGCACAGACTTCTTTAAACAAAAGCCCTATTTAACTGTCTTTAAGAGAGATTAATATCACTGAACTTTTAAATTGCATCATGGGGCTCAAAGTTTAAATCTGTATGGTGTGTTTAAGGTTTTAATTGGGATCAATGTTAAACAACATGCAGTGGGGTCAAAGTGAAATAAATAATCAGTGCATTTTTGGTTCGTGTAATGTTTTTGGTTTGCTTGATTGACTAGTTGTAGACGTTTTATTTAGCAGAACACAAAGTGTGTTGCTCCCTCTAGTTGTACATCTCTCAAACCTTAATGAGCTTTCACTGAACTGTCAGCCAGGTATCACAAGTGCCTCCCAACAATATCAGTAAAGCCGATTTCTAATTCAAAACAAAGATACTGAAATATAAGCACAGTTACGGCCTTTACTTAGTTCAATTGGAGAGTTATCAAAGCACAAATGTGCTTTGTGAGGACACAAATATAGCTCATAGAGGAAACAATAATGAGCTGGAACACAAAAGCTTTGTGAAAGCATAGGATAAAAATGGACATGCTGTTAAAGATAACACCCACCTTTAAAGGTCTGGGACTGAGATTTTTTTTCTGGACGTGTTTAATTAGCTTAGCAGATGGAATGAAGGAGGCATCTAATGCTTTGAGAGTCCTATGATGCATGGTATTATGTGTGATCTGTTTGGATTTTAATTAAATTACAAGGCCTGTCATCTCATTTAATGTAAGGGCAACACAAAGCATATATCAAGTTATGCTTTCTAGTTCTTGTCAGACTCATTTGAAAAACAAAAAATAAGCAAAGACTATTAAGAGACCAGGAAGTGGTTTCCTACCATCATTACACAGCGGCCCTCCGAATGTTGTCATGCTGCAGTCACAGCTGAAGCCCTCCCACTGCTGCAGACACACTCCCTGGTTGGCACACGAGTCCTCCTGGCACGTAGTGCTGGGCCCTGAATATGAAGACAAATAGCAGCTTGGTGAGCAGACTTTTATAATAACCAACCGCACAGTGTGCAGATCGGCTCTGCAGTGAAATGAAATGTCACGCATAACATACAGTACCAGACAATAGGCTTCAGTAAATAGAAGCATACACAGAACAAACATACATATGTTATGCCAAAATGTGTTTAGCCATGTTTTGTAAACCTGCTACACATTTTCCAGATTGTAGCCAACTGCCTGCCAAAAAAGAATCAGTAGACAGACACAATAAAAACAACCCACATGTACAAAAAAACAGCAACAACCTGTCCTTTGTGATATCCATATTTGATTTTACATGTATTTTTAAATGAATTCCCTTATGTTATCTTATTTAAATCCCTGATTTAAATATTGCATTTTTAAGACACAGCAGTGTTCATTGAAACTGTGTCTAGATCTGATGTAGCTCCAATATGGTTACACCACTGTTTAAAATGAGTCTACAGTACACAGGGGCCGTTTCTCAATCGCGAGGAAACTGGCATCCAAGCCAATATTTCAAGGATGCTACGTCATCGAGTGCCGCCGAACGACTGTTCCAATCTCCAGCATACTTGGAATTCCACCGAGGCCGCGGGGCCTCTCATATGACGCACACCTGCACACTTGCTAGCCAGTTCCACTCTTCGTTTTACGAATGCCAGGAAGGATTCTTGCCTAGCTTCTGAAGCAAGTGACTCGGAGGACATGTGCTACCAAGCAAGTATCCTCGCGATTGAGAAATGGCCACCGTGATCCAGTTCATCCTCCTTTCTCCAAAAGTGTCACGCCTCCCTGACCACCTATGCAGATGCTGAGAGTAATCAGAGAGCGCACGTTATTACCGGCTGTAAATGAGGTCAAACGACAATGACACACAGTACGTAACCAGTATGGGCCGGAGCTATCCAAGTACTTAGAATGTTGAAATATATTGTTTCAGATGTGTTTGCAGTCAATGTGTTTAATCTCCGTGCTTGTGAATCTTATTATATCCATCATTACACCTGCGTATTGGTCATTCCGTTCTTTTTTCAGTCTGGACCAGAGCACAGTGAGTACACAGCTGTAAAGACTGTGGCGTCCGTTTGTGTGACGATGAAGCTGAGATAGTTCAGTTAATGGAGACAATGTAAGTGGAATGGCACGGGTTAGTATGAATGTATTTTGGTATTCTAAAATATTTTTATATATAGTATAGATTTGTAAAATATTTTTATTTTGGAATTAATTGTTTTTTTGACAAATGTTATGGGTAATAAACTTACCTTTTCCACCCCCCACCCCCCCTCTATTTGTTAAGTAATATTAACTTTCCTAATCTCAATATTTAAATACATGCAATTGTTGTAATAATCATATAACATGAATAATGACACACATAGTGCTGGATGCATTAGCCAATCACCTATGCAGCCATGTGGATCACATCTTTTTTTAGTACTCATTTCAATTATGAGAGGCATATTTTGTATCTGCTGTGTATCTATTTACTCTGGGTGCTCAGCTGTTTTATTTTTGTTTGTTTTTTACAGACATGGAATTCAATATCTCCTCTTCCATACTCTGGTTTTGGAATCAGACTCGGCCACAGTGCTCGGCCTCAGCGTAGCTATGGTAACTGCTTAATAGTTGAAGTGTTTGCTGTAGCCCACTCAAGGCTGAAAAACGCAAAGAGTTAAATGCTGTACAGAGTGTCCTTTTGGCAACAAGAAACAATGGTTAAGTTCATGGTAACAAATTATTCTGATGTATTGAAATACATCTCTATTTATGGTGCGTCTAACTAGATTTTCAACGTGTGATTTACCAGCTTACAATTGTTTAATGACATAAAATCTCATCTTTAAATCCCTTTTAAAATCACACTTTTATAAACAGGCTGTGACTCACTCCCTATGCACTTGTACGTTATGTAAAGTCTTGATGTGCATCTTTGTTTATGGAGTGTTGTACATCCGTTTTCCTTCTTTATTACTACGCCTTTGAATATTGCGTCGTTTGGTTATATCTTTAGTAAGGCACTTTGTAAAACATTGTACAAATATAGTTTATTATCATTATTATAGTATAAAAAAACATTTCCATATAATAATGTGCCTAATGTGTCACATATGGAATAGGACATAGTATTTGGGAGTCTTTGAAGCAACAGATGTGTAATTGCACTATTGTTATGTTATTTGTAAATATGTCTAGTGAATATAAGAGATCAGAATTCATCTATTTGTTGGGCTAATTGATGGCCACTGTCATTAGTTCTGCAGCATACTTTAAACTGTTACATCTTTAAAGTCTAAAGTATGTAGCTTAATATACTTTTTACTTAAAACGTGGTTAAATTGCCAGAAATGATAACAGTAATATGGCATTGGTAAACATGGGGCTTAGCAATAACAATGATTAATTTCATGAAAAACGTGAAATTAAGTAGGAAAATCATGCAGGCAAAACATTATTAGAAAGACTATAGTCATACAAAAGTATATTCTATATGTATAGTATGTAAACAAAAGAAAAACTAAATAATAAAGACAACATAAAATATGTGAGTGTGACTCAAAACATGAGGCCTGGACTTTGATACAAGATGGTAACGACACTTGTATTCTTATTGGACAGAAGCCCATTTCATTTGGTGGGTGAATACGATTTAGACAGATATCTTGTTCAGGGAGAGGAAAGTGTGGAGGGAGAGACTGTGAGGAGGAGGGGGAGAGGGGGGCAGCAGAGGTGTTGCAGATGCAAAGGGGAGGAAGGACATCAGACTCTGTATCAAACGGAGAAAGCTATCTACCTTGCAAGTCAGCTTTCATCAATGCAACTTTTGTCAGCAAAATAATAGGAAAGGAAAAGGCAAAGTATACCAGCTGTTAGTCAAGTAGACATCAGAGACGGAGTAACAGGAACACAGACTGTTGGAGCAGGAGAGACAGAGCGAGGAATGAGGCTGATGTCTGTCCTCACAAAGAGCCAGAGGGGGAAATGTATTGTATAATGCAGGCCGGATTAAGCCATGCTGTAATAGCAGTTCTCAAAATGGCAACATACGAAAAATGCATGCATGTTAGGCCATTAAAATGGGGTGTATAAGTTTTGTCTGTGATGCTTAGTAGATTTACAGTAATAGAAACTGCATATTTCCTCTCATGAATATTTTTGAGATTTCTCTGCTGTAGTCATAAACTATCAGCAAACATATATGCAACCTTCTGACTGGTTTAATGCAATTCAATAAATGCGTTATCATAGAAGCCATTTTCCATTGAGAGGGTCCATTGATACTGTGTGGCACGAAACCATAACAGCACGTTTGACAGGGCGCAACATTTGATTACATTTGTAATGTGGGAACATGAAAAGATCAGAAGAAGCCTACTCAATAGAGTGGATGAATTGTGAAATGGAACTAAGTGAGTGAAGTTGAAAAATAAATCAAATATTGTCTCTGGATGTGGTGCACACATTAGACTGGACAAATGATATTCATGCATGCAACAGAGGCTTCATACATAATTCAAAAGGATTGCTTCTGGCAAACTCTCAGATCCAGCGAGCATGCATAGAGCAAAACAGAATGGGGATAAAATGAGAAATAACACTGGCAGTACAAATATGGCAGAGAGAATAATCAGATTATGGCTAAGTGAAACAGAAATGATAGCCTGTGGAGGAGTGTCAGAGCTTGATGCATTCTAACAGAATACTAACACACTTTATGGATGTTAAACTATGTTCCACAGGTTGGCATTGTGGGTGTGCTTTGCAGTGCATGTGTGTCGGAAAAGTATGAGAATGAGAGCGCTTAGAAGCATTGAAGCATGATAGTTTTTGAGATAACGAGGGGAAAGAGGATGATTAAATGGAATATCTCTCCTTTTTTTTAGGCACTGATCAATACAATTTGAACCTGATTTAAGCTAGAACATGTAGTAAACTCCACATACAAAAACGAAAGTTTGAAAGCACCAAATAGTTGCTTCACTCGGCCGAGAGACTCACCTTCACATCCTCTCTCTATCTGACCCACGCAGTCCAGAGCGTCTGACATCAGGTCCGGGAGCCGCCCGTTCAGATCCACCGACGCCAGACAGCCTTGGAAACCCTCCTTGGCGTGCACCAGTTTGGGCAGCTCCTTGTACATCTCCTTAGCCACCCCGCCAATATAAAGGTTACCTGTGCAGAAATAGGACAATACTGACCCCTAGTGGAAACAAAACATGGTACCAAGCTCTCTTTTTAATGTATAAATAACCACCCTTTGTTGAATGGATTTCCCAACTAAAGACCTAAAGATAACATTTATGCTTTACTTAATTAAGGTAGTTTGAAAGTATAATCCATATTAAACAGTGCAAGAGGTTAATTACCACGTTGCTTAAAAATAATTATATATTTGTCAAATACAATTTAACTGTGCAACAATGCAATATCAATTATATATAATTGTGTTTACATTTTGTCATCTGCTTTGTACTAGGTCAACAAATGTAATAATTACAACGTTCTTCGAAGTCGCACACCAATTATGCCTTTATCCTTCCAGTGAGAAAACTTGTTATCTTGTTCATTCTTTCAGATAACTTTAATAAAATGTTGGTCTGCTGAGCCCGAATGCTCTTTTGTATGAACTGGCTGCTCCACACGCACACCATTAGTGCTGGTGCTGAACAGATGGAGTTGAGATTTTAGCTGGAGGGTACCTGAGTGGGTGTTGGTAATGAGCGAGGGCCGAGCCTTTCCCTCCACCCCTGCAGGCTTTATCCTGCTGGTGCAACCTTTCAGTCCCAAATATGCTCCTCTCGACTCTAGGCCACTGCTGCCCCAATTTAATGAAATCTATAATATAAATGTATTTCAATTCTCTACTCCTACACACCCTTCAGGTCCAGATTTTTGGCTCCTGAGGTTGTCTGCGTGGTGATCTTGGTATCAATCTTGACCATGTGGAGGTTGTTGGTGTCCCTGGAGATGATGACATTGTGCCAGTGGTTGTCGTTGAGGGGCTTGTTGGAGTTGCCTTTGATCAAGTGGGCTCCATTTCCCAGGTCAGACACATAGTGCAGGTAACTGGAAACAGATATTTAACAGCGTGAGTCGATGCAACCATGGACCGGAACGTGAGACATGATAGCTTATGGAAAAGGCTGTTTCCAGAATCCCAAAATATAAATAAATGTTTTGGAATCCAGTTTATTTTCAGACTGTTTACACACATAACAGACAAAATGCATAAGAATATAACAAGACTAATACAATCGGAAAAAGTGAACTGAAAAGTGCATGAAGAAACTAAAACTGGAGCAAGAGCGAGTTTGTTGTTGCTGGTGCTGTGTGCCTGTGAATTCAGTTGTGCAGATATGAGAGTATCAGAAAGTGCAGCTGTCTGAGAAGCTTCTAAATAATTGGCAGGTTGGAGAATTAACAAAAGGTTGTGGGCTGAGCCGAACAAATTGGTCTTAAATACTTTGGTTTAGAGGCAAATTATGATGTGCGTGCCCATTTTAATTAGAATGTATGCCTTTAATGTTTAGCACATTGAATAATGCCTTAACTCCAGGCATTACTTAAAAGAGGGTCATTCTATAGCTGCATTTCAGCAATAAGAAATGTGCCCTTGTGAAGTCGATGCCCTTTTATGTTGGGTATTTGTTTTTGCCTTCATGATTTAAAAGAACAGTAATAGCCGTCAGCTCTTTAAGTAAATACTCTGGCATAGAGATGATAAGAAAATAATTGAAACTCCCATGGTGATGGCATAAATAGCTGTCAAGACTTATAGTCTGTTTGGAAACTGTCATAAAGTATGAAGAGCTTCACCATTAAAGTTACAGCTAATTCTTATGGAAAGTCTTACATAATGAAAACAACTTGCTTCACTCAAATTAAACTCATTTGACAGTCTTAGTCATTGCTGATGTCTAAACCAGGTTCAGGTAAGTGTTCAAAGAGAAGAGCCGTGTAGTTACTGTGCAGCTACCTGATCTGAAACTAAAACAAGCAAGGCACCCACGCAAAGACAAACCTCAATTATGAATCCCCCGAGAAACATAAATCTGACAGCAGGTTGCCACAACCCCAATGACTCCTGTAATTACTCCAAAATGAAATGCATAGAAAAAAAGGAATAACATATCTTATGGTTGGTTGGTTAGTTGATAATGCCCTTGAAGATTAACCAAAAGTGAATGTGACTTGATGCGGTTTTAATTATTTTTTGAGATGTTTACATTTTACAATTGTTTCTACACTTTTTTTCTACTTATGTGCTTTAATGCTGCTGCAACGCAAACATTTCCCAAATTGGGATCAATAAAGTACATCTTGTCTTATCTGACTAGATCTACTTGAAATACATGGGAGAACAGTCGGTTTGAGTTTTTGCCTCCACTCACCCTTTGACCAGCTCCACCACGATGAAGTCGTTTCCGTCGCCGCTGTTAAACAGGACGAGGCCGTCGGAGGAGGTGGTTTTGAACTGAAAGAAAAGGTGCATGGAGTAGTAGGCCTGCAGAGTGGTGAGGGTCACGTAGCTTGAGCGCGACTTGAAGGTCACGGGGTCGGCGATGATGTTCTTGAAGCCAATCATGGCGTTGAGCTCACAGTAATCAATGTCACCGTTTTTACAGAGGTCTATGTAGGCCATGCCGTTAAAGGAGAGGCTCTGGAGGTGGCCAATGAAGTTGGACGGCACCATGGACATGAAGCGCTTCTCTGTCACAATGCCCGTCTCAATGTTGTGGAACTCCAGCTGGGTGTGGTCGCCTGCCATTTGACCTTTGATCAGCAGACGAAGGAAGGGAGGGAAGGAGGGTGTTATTGGGGATATTTTACAATAAAACTTTTGCAGACAAGTAAAATACAGAACAGAACATTGTGTATGGCTAATAATAACATTTCTAATAAAGGCAAACAAGGCCCCTACAGACAGTGAATCTACATAATTTGGCTGTAAAATGAGCCTGTTGAGTTATTATCAAACTGTGTAGCCTATTTTAGATGTTTATTTAACCTAATTATCTTAGAGGATATGGTTTGAGAATCGTCTTGTGAATTTCTTTTGAATAAACGGCAACAAAAATGCATATTTTGTCCAAAATGGATAAGGGAGCATCAATAATGAAGAAACACAACAAAAAAAAGGCACTCTACAAAGCACAGTATTTGTAGAGAATACATTACTAGAGCATATGTCTTACCTAGAATCTGAGAGCAAAACAAATGTTATGGGTTAATTTAGATTTAAAGAATAATTATTCTGTGAAAGGAGAAGAGGGAGAAGTACCTTCCACAGGCTGCAGATCATCTACGGTCAGTTTCAAACTCTTGCCCCTCCTGAACACACGCACTGTGTGCCACTCATTATCGTTCACATTCTGACCCGCAAAAATAGTCTCTGGGCCTTTGCCTGCGGGACAGTCCAAACAGTGGTTAACAGATATTCATTCACACAAATCATATACATTACAGACAGGCTGAGAGACAGAAAAGGGGGCGCCAAAAGAGAGGCAGAGAGTATAAGTTAAGTTGTTTGACAGAAACAAAAAAACATTAAGGTAAACATAGTTAATGGTCCATAAAATACATCATTCTGACTTGCATTTGCTGTACTGGTCGCACCATTAGATAGAGCATCACATTTCTGAATTGTCCCTGAACAACATTTTCCTCAAACTAAGAGGAGGGAGGCCATAATAAGGATGTCATATTATTATGAACAATATCCACACTAACTGTTTTCTGTAAATATATATGTTCTAATGAAACAGGGGATACTGAGTATTTTCTTCATGGCTGGTCTCAGATTTCTTATGATATCTCTTCCTTCCTTTGATGCCACTAGGGGGCAGTATCTAACTACTAAAAGGCTACTACGGAGAAAGGCACTAAACAATTGAGCATCACTCTCCATCTTGTTTACCTACGACAGAGCAACCCAGTATTTGATTCCTCTCATGCCCAGCGCATGACATGAAATAGAGATAAGGAAATAAATACTTGCATAATGGGAGCAATGTCCTTGGTGGTGAAAGAACCCATTAAAAGCAAAACAGGCAGTCCATTGTCCCTGGAAATCCGCTAATGCAGAAAACAGGAAATACTGAATGTGATTTTTATCAGCACCCTTTGAAAATAAATGGGTGTTTTGGAATAAGCAGCTGGTAGGAGGTAGCAAATATCGTCAGTCACCAAAACTACACAAAGTCTAAGGCACATGTTGAATCCATAAATCATCCCATTTAACTGAAAATGTAACTATATAATAATAATAATAATAATATAAACCTCTGAGTCCTTCATTGACTCCTGAAAACATACATTTTGCATTAAGTGTGTCAGTGCTTGAGGGCAGTAATAGAGATGTCAAACAGGATCAAGGTGCCAAATCCTCAAGGAGAGTTAATCAGATTTAGAATCACAGATAAATGATCTCATTAGCAGCAACTAACAAAATCTCCGAAGATACACTCCTGCATTGAGAAACCCAACAATGGTCCAATTGGGGCAACACATCATTATTTCATGTAGCCTCCCTCCGTCTCAGAGCATCTTGGAATTGCAGTGTATCTCTGATGTTCCCCTGATGTGCACACATAACCAAACCGGCCAATAAGGACGGACCACTGTGACCGATTTAAAATCCCCAGACTCTGCAAACCTTGCCCACAGCAGGGAGTATTTCAGATGGGAGCCATCTATACCCTGCACCCATTTATGGCTATTTATTTCCTCCTTTTCTGCAATCTTCAAAGACTCGATGCAATGTGTATATGCAAATCTGAGGGTGCCAAAGCATTGGGACACACTCAATCTCAGAGGCACAGTTCTGCTTTGTAAGCACTAAACACTAACACCGGGGCAGGATTGAAACCAGACGACTGGCGAGGGATTAAGGGGGAGAGATATGAAATAATGGGATGGAGTTGGACTTGAAAGCATGCTTGATCTTTGCCTTCCATCATCCTGTCCTTGTTGCTCTCCAAGGAGGAAATTAAGGAAAAGGGGAAAGGAGGTCAATCGTATTAAGGAGCACATAGCTGCACAACATCCACCACTGTAGGGCCTGGGTTTACAGTCTGTGGTCCAAACAGCCAGCTGCTGGCCAGACATTAAGGTCCTTCAGACCACTGTCGGCCGCGTCCAGCCCTCTCTGCTGCCCTCACTGATGGTGATCTATCTGCAGTGATGGATCTACAGTGATCCCTCCATGCTTCATTGACTTTGAGCCCAAGGGAACAGTGGAGAAGTGTGGCACAGGGCAGCATGAGAAGATGTGATTATCCAGTCAATCAGCTGTGGCTGGCTGGATGACAGGCCAGATACTGGTGTTGCCTGCCCAGACACTGTGACTCACCCATGTGGGGGGGGGGGGACTCACTGACCAAGCAGCAGGACACTACTGCTGGATTACCGTCAACACAGAGATCAGAGTCCAGCGCACATGGCAAGGAAAGCAGGCTACAATGTGAGGCAACCTGCTGAACTAATCAATGGTTTGCTAACTATAAAGCCATTGTTTAGGCAAGCAGAGATTACATAGTGTAAAAACAATAAATGACGATCAATAATAATCAGCAGTTTGTGGGCATTTACATTTATGACTGCTCAATACGAAACATGTTGGATTGGTTTTTTGAACACGGCTCAATTTAATGCAAAAGGATAACAGCATATTTGAGCAATAACGGCGTAACTATCTCATGATAACTACCTGCTGCCTGACAGGAAAGTCAATCAGCATGCTGGAGCTTTGGGGGATGTCAGCGTTTAGTCCCAGCTTTTCATTTAAGCAGCTGATGTTTGTTGCAAGGACCACTGAGCCAACATGTTAGCCTCTTTATCTAGCTAATTCAGTGCAACCATAAAGAACATCCACATAATTGCTCTTTAATTTTAAACACCTCACTGTTCTTTCTCCTCACTTGGTACTCCTGTTTATATTGGTGTAGAAAAATACAGCAGCAAGGTTTATCTACAATTGAGGCTGGTGGATTGTCTTATTTGAGGTAATATGATTTTTTCTTTGCGGAATTCTTTGCTTAAAACTTTTAAAGATTTGAAATTTTGTCCGTTTATTTTGTTACACATTTAATATTGAGGGTGTAGTGGGGTCCAATATGAATAACTGCATCCTAATTTGCTCATCCTGGTCATTTACTTATGGTCACTAACTACCTTATTGATATATGTTTTCATAAGGGGGGTTTTATCTTTAGGTTGACTTATATTCACAATAATATATCCCTGAATAACCTCAAATCAATATGTGCGCTCAACCTAGTCACAGCATTTTAGCAATACACTGAGAAATAGTAAATATGTCGAATAAAGAGCTTGCAACAAATATTAGCAGTCATAAAAACAGTGGTCCTCAAACAAGCATTAGTGTGAGGCGAAGACTATGGAATTAATGGCAATTTAGTGTAATTATTTCAGCCGATCAGGCAGCAGGTATGTACATATCCATGTATGCATCCTCCCCTTGAATCAACCTTGCATCTATTATTTCTTACATATACACAGGCAAAATATGAATGTAAAAGAGTCTTTCACAGTAAATAAGTCAAAAACGATACTTTGATGCGCCGAAAGCATCAATTATGAGAGAAAAGATGCCTGAGATGTTACCAAAGGTCATTGAGAGACTAATAACATGACACTTCCCTTATGGATACACTTTACATTTTGATTATACTGCAGTTCAAGCTAATGAATAATATAAGGGCCAGAATATCACACGAAAAGAAGAGAAAAAGCCAAGCTGTCACAAGATATTTTTGGTTCATATTTTCAGTTTGTTGTCACTCAGTCTCTGTTAACAGTGTTTAAGTGGAAGTGGCAGTGTGCTCTTCAGACAGCTCTGGGCAGCCCCAGGGAGCCGGCTCTCTAATTGACAGTGATGTGTTCTTTGAGTCGGTGCTGAAATTCTTCATCCACCGAGTTGTCCGGAGCTGCAGCGCCTGACAAGACACATTAATTAACACCGGAAAAAAAGAGGACGAAAATAAGACGGAGAAAAATAATAACCTATATAAAAGGATTAAGTACTTCATAAGTGGAAATGCACTGGCTCAACAGTTCTTAGAACTTCAATTAAACATTTTCTTATGACACAATTAGGTCTGGATGTATTAATGGAAAGATTGCTGTTTTATGTTTTATTTCCTTCTTTAATTAACTTAAAACATTCACTTTCCCTATGGCATTATATTAAATGTTAATGGAATCAAAATATTTTACTTTGAATTCTGTGTTAGCTATGCGTCCAAACCATCTGCAGTATTGTACGTCTTTCTATCTATACAAATAATCTTATGGCAAAATATAATATAAGACTATTATTTGAATGTATAAAAAAGGGACTGAACTAATAAGTGAACATCCTAAAGATTGCTCACTTTTTGATGTACCTTCAACCAGTACCAGTTTACACTACTGCCACAACTATTTTGGTTAAACGATGCTAGTTACTACTGTAAATGGAATTGGATACTATGAGTACAAATAAATAAAGAACTGAAGATAGAAAAAACAAAGTAGAAAATATTCGTACAACAACCACTGGAGTCCATGTATGCGCTGCTGATAACGCCTCTGTGCCATCCTCTTAAACCAAGAATGACCTTTTAAAGCTTTGGATGGGGGAATTAGAGCTCAGAGCTTTTTGTTTGCATACACAAACAAGGGATGCAATGCAAGACGCATGAGCAATGCTATTTAGCATTTAGAAAGGTGTTAAGAAGGGCTGGCTCACAGAAGCATGTCTAGAGATCACATCATGTGATTCTGTGCGGAGGCGTTTGTTGTGCAAATCTCCGCTTCTCATCAAGGAGTGACCTTCAAGTACTGTAACACTCCACAGACACACAAACAGATCCAACACTTTCAGAGAGAACTGTGTGTCCTTACAGTATTTATACTATGTGACTGTCACTTCTATTATAGAGCTTAAACTGTGTAATTTCACCTTGTATTTATTGGTACTGAGAGTATGTCTGTCACTTCGGAATAATTAAACAGGAAGAGGGCTCACGTATTATGACTCCAGAGAAGTAATTATTAATTCATCACTGTTCCTGAATAAGGAATGGCAGGGTTTTTTACCTCCCAAAATATTGCAATGTAACCCCTTTTAGAAACACACACATACACAAACAGAGATATCCTCCATGAAAATCACAACAAGATCTATCCTCTCTCTCTCCCTCCCTCCTCATCCCTTTCTTTCTGCTCTGTGAGGCAGGTTAATGACAATAATAAAATCACACTCTGTATTTCCTCTTTGCCTTGAATGGCCTCATCAATTTACAACCAGCGTGAAATACTGAAGTAGAAAAAAAAAGAATTGCTAGGGGGAGACAAGGAAATCATGCATGTCTAAAATACCTGCACTCCCAAAGCATGCGTTTTATATCAGCCTAAACTCAGGAGTGAAATGGATCGTTAATTAGAAACAACTCAGTGTGTATGATCACAGCTGACTGCCATATCTGGGTTTGTCATTATTTCAAGCCTCCCTCCATGTCCTCCCTACTGCTCATCATTGTCCTGGACAGCTGATGTACACAACAACACCCGGCATTTATTATGCTCCGATAGCTCTCAGACTCAGTGTGACAAAATGTAACGTATATGTCAATGCAAACTGCAAGTCAGACATGTTTCATTGCACATCGGAAATCACATTTTCACAGCTTAACGATCGTTTAATGTCAGTATCAAATTAAAATGGCTTAACTTGTAAATTGTAAACATGGATACGTAAAAGACTTTTAGAAAAATAAAACATGAATATCTTGAAACAGCAAGAGTTAGAGAAGAATAAGAAAGGTGAACAGTAACTTACTGGAGGTACAGTTAATCCTGATACAATCTAGACGGGGAAGAATAGATGAGAGATAAATTCATCTTTCAATGTTACAGCTGCAGACATGATTAAAGCATACAGTCCACCCCTCTGGGGACACACACACGGACACTCTCCGTCCTCTGATGCTCTCACCCGCGGCCCCGAGCTACAGCGAGCTGGTGAAAGCTCTGCAGTGGAGCGGCGCCAGAGGGGCACATCATGGCTTACACTACATGTTCCAGCAATGTAGAACAGAGAGTGACGAGAACTGAGGTTATGTTCATGACATTGTTTGTATTGCTATGTTTTCTTCCAATAGCCAGACGCAAAGTTTAACATCTGGGAGATTTACGTTGAAAGGATAAGATCTTCTATAGAGTATGAGAGCATCAGATTCTGGTGAGGGTCAGACAGGGCCAGGAGGAAGCTTTTCCCTTTTAGGCTACATTATTTTACCTTTTACTCCACTATAACAATTAGAACTTATATTACCTGGTAATGTTACATTATACATTTTACTTCTGAACATATTTAAAGTAGGTCAAATTAACTTGAAATCAACCAGAATTAAAATGCTGCTTACGTGGAAATGTAATTTGTTTTAGCTGTTTGACTTTTGATACTTTGAATTAATCAGCATGTTATACTTATTTACTCTTTTATTTACTAAGTTAAATTTGAAGAATTTTGTTTTACTTATAACTTTTACCAATATGGTATTGTTAATTTTATGCAAATGAATGATCTGATAATGTTTCCAGCATAATATAAAGTAGGTAGAATTTCATCGCAACTATTGGAAAATGCTACTCTGTCTAATTATTCAGTTACAATAACATATAATACATAATTATTTAAACAGTCATATTTCAATCTACTTGAAGTAAAATAACATATTACTTCCATAAGTGAAAACTAGTAGAGGTAACACTATTATTGATTTTTATTTTTTCAACTAACAAAAGTCTTGATCATACTTCAACAGCTGTAGTTGACATTAGACTTAGAGTCAATACAATAACAAGCTAATCTTCTAGCGTACATCAATGGGATCTTGACTGCCACTTTTTTACCTCTCTGTTTCTTAGGCTTAGCTCATGTTGTGCTCTGAGAAAGGTGACCCAGATTGAGCTCCCTCCTTCCCATTTGGCCCTGCCTGTCGTGTGTTGTCAACCACAGCAGAAAAGTGGTCGCAAACAGCCAGAGACCAGCACTAGCCTACCCGAACAGGGAATGCTCTGCTTTTGTTTAAGGAGGGACGGAGAAGACAGGCTTCAGCGGCTGATGGCTGGGGACAAACTCTACTCTTAAAAGTGTCAAATATAATTCAAAGGAAAACAAAACATGGCGGCCTGTTGTTTTCATTAGAGGGCAATCCTTTGAATTCTCAGTTATTCGACTTGTCAGCCCTGTCAGTGTGTGGCGCTGTTGTCTTCCAGGGCGGGACACATGCTTCCTTGTGTTTGACAGCAGACACAGACTACTGTCTACTTTGTATGCACAGCTATTCAGCAGCGCTTAGGAAGCCCATTTCTGTTTAGCCAGTGGAAAGGAGAAATAGATGGCTATCATTTGTGCGGCATTGCTCCGTTTGAGAGATATTAAACTTTCACAGGCATCATTGGATTCTTTCCTGAGCAAATAAGGACATATAAACACACTCGCACTGACTCTTATATTTTGTCCTCAATTTTCTTTTTGCTACGGGCAAGTTTGCTCATTTAAGAGACAGTTGCTGATTTCTGTGAATTAGGTGCAAAAGGTAAAGACATGATTTCAGGGCATTGATTGGCCACAACTCATAAATATTGGCTTTCTGATAGGTAATAACTTATATTACACATTTTTAGAATGATTAGATCTCAAAGAATGATGACTGGATGTGTTTGAAATGAAACGAGGAAGGAATAGAGCAGTGTTTGAACTGTCAGGGCATTTTCCTATAGAGCAATACACATGTACGGATGCTGATTTGAGGTCAGCTGATGTATTGGGCAGCGAGCATTCCCTGCTGGGCAACGACATGTGTGTGCTCAACTGGCAGTGAGCGGAGAGCCGCAGACTTTTGGCATTGAAAGTCTTTACACCTCCTCCTTCTTTTCAAAATATGTATATGGTGTTTGTGTGTGTGAGTGTGGGAGAGAGTGTGTGTGTGACATATGATGGCTTTTCTGCAGCGGTCGGTGCAATGTCCGAGGCATTACCTAAGTTGACAGTCAGGCGGACCCGGCCGCTCTCCAGCTCCAGACGCAGGGTGTCAGCAGAGTCCCGAGATGTGGTGGCTATTAGGATGCCATAGGCTCGCTGGGATCGGAAGCGCAGAGACACGTCCTCGGCTTCTGTGTGCATCACCACTGGCAGCTGGACCTTCATAAACTTGCTGCCGTCGTAGCTGAGGATGGTCGCCTCTGCAGAGAGAATGAGGAGGAAAACAACATCAGGAATAGCAGTACAATGGAGTGTAGCAGTTTTACGCTGTACCAATGTCTATTCATGTCAGTTCAGCTTTTAATTACGTCCTTGTGGATATCATTTAATGATAATATAATGTAACTTTATATTTCAAATACAGCTATGTAATTTATAGGGCTGCCCCATCTTAATTGATTAGTTGGCTAAAGCTTGTTATGGTTTAATAGCCTTTTTTTATGCCTTTTTCCTGCATTTTCAAGAAAATGATGAGACATTCTTGGTAAACACAGGATTTAAAGTTGTTACTGAATGTAAGGGAAATAATGTTTTGCAGATTAAAAAATACAACCCATTAGTAAAAAGAAATGTATGAATGTTAATCGACTCAATCTCTTTAGTCAACGAAACCCCTAGTGAACTGGTCAAACACACAGTGAGATATCCTATTATGTGTCTGTTGGAAAAATGCACTCACATACTGAATACTGCAATACAAGCTTTGCAGCAACAAACTTAGCAGCCTGCACTGACTTGACATCGAGCATTCAGTTCATTCATAGAGGAATGGTAATGAAGTTGACAAACACAGAGATGACTACGGGCTTCCAGGAGTGTCTGTGGGTGTGATTATGAGACATACAGTTTGTTAGGGAAGAAAACTCTGTCTCACTGACAGAGGACACCCCATCTGACCGCAGATGGATCCAACAACTATACTACTCAAATTACTGAAGACAAAACAAAGAAATCAATGGGTAGATTCCAAACTCTGAAATGCTGTGTACAGATATGTCATCCAAGAGCAGTTTGTACAGGATATGCCATATGTCTAGCATCCCATTACACCGTGTACTACAGCTGACAGCTACCCAATCTCCCTCCAAAGTCTGAGTCCTGTCTTCTCTGGGCCAATTTAGTAGGTGCCTTCAATCCAACAAAAATGAAAAGAGTCTCCATCTATATATATGTAGGTCTGTACTCCCCAGTTTCTCTATAGCTGTTCTTCACCTCACACTTGGCGGGTGATTTGCTGAGGAGCCAAGGAAGTGCAGTGTTGAATGTGAAGTTGTAAGGAAAGGGACTTCTAGTTCTTGATAAAGCAGAAAAAGCATAGAGAAATCAGCTAAACAGGACTGTACAACTACTGTATGAAATGGTACATCCTATCATAATAGTAAAAAACATTGAATTTTTAAAAACAAACCAATACAATCTCACTGCAAAGGGAATATATAGGAAACTCTCAATCAATACAAAGTACCAAAGTTAATGTAAAGAAGAAAAAGAAGCCTTGCATCCGCTATTTGTATCTCCAATGTTATAGGGACAAACTACAAAAAGGTACAAATTGATATTGACTGAGGAAAAAAAGAAAGCGGCGAAAGAATTGTAATAGCCTGTGGACCCTGAATATTGAGCTTCTGCTCAGGGTGACTGCATTTACTCAAAGCATTAGGCAGCCATCTGGAGAAATGAAGGGGAGATTGTTTAACGCTGGCAGGGGGTTGTAACAGCATTTCCGGTAGTGTAACTAAACCATAACCCAATAACAAAGCCATTACTGCAGCTGTAGTGCTGAGACAGATAGAATCCAAGTTGGAGAGATGGAGAGTGGTGGGGGCTATAGAGTACAAATGTACACACACCACCTCATCACCACTTCCTCGTCACACAGAGCCAATGTCACATCCATCCCCTGGGATGACTCCGTCATATTCCTCACCCAAATCCAATTTCTCCACGCCCTCCTGGGGTCTGCTGCAGATGACAGGGGTGTGTGACAAACGAGTTTTCACTACTAAACTGTCTGCTTCCTGCCAGGCAGCTAAAGCAAAGAGCTGCATATAGACAGTGTTAGCAGATGCCAGCAAAAACGGAGCCCCTAATACTTGAAAAATGTTTGTCAATGCAATATTGGCTAGTACTTAGACCATGTGAAAGAAGTTTCTAGTAGCAGCAAGTATTGAACTTATTCTTGATATATTATTGATAACTATAGTTTATACTGTAAACATATAGACAGTAAGTGTCTGTTGTTCCGGTGTATGTTTACACTGGGAAGATGAGCCATGAAAATCATTGATGCTATAAACCGTGATGGACGGATCCAAGTGCTGCACTGTATATTATTTCTACTGAAGTACAAACCTTACCCCCTTTAAAAATGCATCGTTCTAAAATCGGATCCACTATAATTGTGACAATGCGCCCAAGGTAAAATTAGGAAGCAAAATCAAATATATGCATTGATAATAAAAATGTGTTCTCTGCTTTAAAAGCGTATAGTATTTTGGTAAATGCCGTTTGTTAACTGTTTTCAACAATACAGCATGGAGTCTGGTCATTGGGAATAAACAGCTGCAAAGAAAAGTAATTATGTGATAAACACTTTACAACATCTCGTAAATGTAAAGACAATTCCACTCGTGAATAATCTGGACTTTTTTTTTTTACGAATGAACGGATCAAATTATTCACAACTGTGGTAGATATTTATTATAAGATGTCAACTCTGCTTAAATTCATATAAGAGATTGTTCAAAATTCAGTAAATAAGGAAAGTCGGAATAAAGATTGAAATATGGGATGACATGTGGGGGAATCATTACCTGATGCAAAGTGAGCACCTGTCACAAATCCAATCCTGGAAGCCCAGTCATTTTTAATGGCACTCCCGTGTTTAATATCCGAATAAATTGAGAGGACTGAAGCTGGAGCTTCTGTCTGAGATAAGCCAATGGGAAGCTGTCAGAGAGGAGATGGAGACCACCAACAATAAACCAACCCATCATGTTATGTATTATAAAGCACAAGACAACATCGTTTTCAGATTTTTAAAAGAAACAGAGGCGATTGGGTTGGGGGGGCCAACTCTCAGAGAAGTAACAAATGAGGCTGTAATTCCAATGAGTGGGAGTTATGGCAGCCAGGCAGGCACACGGTCCCACCTTCTTTCTCCCCGAGGAGAGGAGGCTTTGCAGAAAGGGAGAGCTGTCAGCTGCATGTCACAGGATTGTGAAGCCCACAGGATCAGGGCGTCAGGCCCAATTCAAAATTTGCCGGAAAACACCTGCCAAAGGGCTTTTGGAAAATGTTTTCATGGCTTTGAGATATCATAAATAATTCAAAGCTGCTCATGTCTTCTTCAGTGCAGCCTTTGAGTAGTTTGTATATACAATCCAAATAATAGACTCACTGGTATTAAATGTGTGAAAACAACCTGGCAGCTGAGTGAATTTCCAAAGGGAAACCATTCTCTATTCAGAAAGAAACAACATCAATACAGGCCAACTTCACATCTGCTGCCCTGTGACGATATGGCCCCTTTATTAGGGCCACGAAATGAGAGCAAAGATAGAAAATGGATCAGTGTGTCTACTGCAGTGGTGCTACGTGCGACTTCAGCTCGTGCTCTCAAGAATACATGTGAGTGCCAAGATGGTAAAGATTTAGAATGAGGTTTTTCAGCCCATTGAGACTATTAAAAAGGAGCATTCCCTCCAGGTTTATTGATTTGCAAGTCAAGCTTCAGTCTTTGGTCTTAGCTGTTCTCTAAAGGTTTCTCAACATACCTATTATAACAAGTTGTAGAAATCAGAAATACAAAGCCATAATCTGCAGCTTATACGCACTGTATTCCTTTGACAAAGGCTTAGAGGTTTCGTAAGTTCCTTTGGGTCTGGAAACAAACAAAAATGTGAAAATCAGGCCCCTGACATTGTTCAAACTGTCAGGTGTTCCGTTGTTCATCCAATTTTCAGCACACCTGTGAACATCGCTTAAGGCACGAGGCAACCAGTCTTTTCTCATTTTTCACTATATTAAAGATTGTTGATGAACACACAGTATGCTGTCAAAAATAAACCGTGATAGACGGATCCAAGTGCTGCACTGTATATTATTTCTACTGAAGTACAAACCTTACCCCCTTTAACAGCATACACACAGTATGCTGTCAAAAAGCATGGTTAACACCTCTTTTAATGCTAAACTCAGCCATAATACCCTTTGAGGGCATTATTATGCAATAACATTCTGCACATGACTTATCTAACGTGCAAAGTCAGCAGGTTGTATGTGTGTATAGCCAATGTGGTGTACAGTGACTTGTGTATTGACATGTATATACATCTTCAACATCTATCTATATTCGATGTGCGTATCTGTAAGCACATCCGTCTGCAGCAGCCTGTGCATGTGGTATAGTGCAGCTGCTGTCAGTGTAGGAATCCAGCATGTCATGTCTCGTTAGGGAATACGTGCATGTGCTGCAACGCACCTATTACACCATCTGGGAGGCTGCCTTAGCCTCACACTGCAAGACTAATATTTGGGCTAATTAGCAACTCGAGGAACAATGAAGGGGAAGACATTTGGGATGCAAGGGGGAAAATTGCTTTGTATGCTTAATTAAAATCTCTCAAAATCGCTCGCTGCTTCTCTATCGAAGCTCCACCTCCTGTTCCTTCCACTCGTTGTTGTCCTCCTCCTCCGCCATATGCAGTAGCTGTATTTTGCCACGGGGTGGTACACCATGCATGGATAAGTGAGAGCTGGGGTAATTCTTTTGACAGCTCCTCGGCCTGCTGGTGCCTGCTTCATCATACCAGCGCAGAGGCAATCTGGAGCCATCAAAACAGCTGGAAACACGCCAGGGCCCATCCTCTATGCCACTGCTCCCACTCACACTCTTAGATGCTGGTCTCATACATAGATAAATACATCCAGAAACCCAGTTTTGGACAGAGGAGCCAAGACGCCTTAAGACGCTTCAGTGTTCCGAGGAAGGAAAGGGGTCACAGTAGCAGATAACTTTGTGACATGCAATACCTTCTGTTAGGTTGTTTCAAAACAGAGCTGCAAGTGTTCTGCTTCTGTTTTCAGATGTAGTCAACAGTGGAATATATCTTTCTGAATCTATAACATTGAAGTGAAACGATCTGTGCCCAATGCCCACTCCACCTCCCTCATGTACTGTGCCCTAATTCCTGTCTAC